AGGTAGTGTATTTTTGGTTGTAGGGTTTTTTTGTTTTGTTTTGTTTTGTTTTGTTGTCCCCTTCAGCACTTTGAATGTATCATGTCATTCCCTTCTGGCTTACAAAGGTTTCCCTTGTACATAAACTTTTTCTTCTCTTGCTGCTTTTAAAATTCTCTCTTTATCTTTAATCTTTGATATTTTAATTATCATGTGTTGTGATATGGACCTCCTTAGTTCATCTTGTTTGGAACCTTCTGTGCTTCCTGAACCTGAATGTCTATTTCCTTCCCTAGGTTAGGGAAGATTTTGGATATTATTTCTTCAAATAAGTTTTCTACACCTTTCTTTTTCTCTTTCTCGTCTGGGACCCCTATAATGCAAATGTTTGTTTGCTCAGTGTTATCCAAGAGATCTCTTAACCTCTATGCATTTTTAAAATTCTTTTCTTGTTTTGCTGTTCAGCCTGTGTGCTATTATTACCCTGTCTTCTAGATCATTATATCCTTCTGCATCCGCTAATCTATTGATTCCCTCTAGTATGTTTTTTTATTTCATTTATTGTATTCTTGAATTCTCATTAGTTCTTATTTGTATTTTCTGTCTCTTTATTGTAGTTCTAACTGAGCTCTTCCACTCTTTTCTCCAGTGCAGTGAGTATCTTTAAGATCATTACTTCAAATTCTTCATCAGGCACTTGGTTATCTCTGTCTCATTTTGTTTTTTTTCTGAGGTGTTTTCTTGTTCTTTCTTTTGGATCATATTCCTCTTTCTTTCCATTTTGCTTGGCTTTTTGTTTGTTTCTGTGGATTAGGTGTAACAGTTACTTCTTTGAAATTTGAAGGAATAGTCTTGTGTATGGTGTCCTCTATACAGACTATGTGTGCTTGGTGACTTTTGCTGGCTGGCTGGAGCTGTGGCTCTGTATGCTAGTTACTCTTTTAAACTGTGGCTTTTTACAAAAAGAAGAAATATAATAATAATAATAATAATAATAATAATAATAATAATAATAATAAAAGAAAATACTAAAATAAAAAAGGAGATTAAAAAAAGATAAGGAAAAGAAAAAAAGAAGGAAAAAAGTACAAAGAAAAGAAAAATCCAAAAAGAAAAACAAAAGAGGGAAAATTTAAAAAAAAGTCATCTTTAAAATAAAAATAATAACAAATTTTTAAAAACTAAAAATACCCCAAACCCAAAACTTGGCTTGTGACCCAGGCTGGTGTGGGTTTGTTTGCAAACCCTGAGTTTGCTGCTGTCGCAAGCTCCCTGTGATGACCAGACCCACTAGTGTTGGCATCCAGACCCTGCTCCAGTCTAGGATTTTAAGGTGGAATGGGAACCTGAAATGTGTGCTTCTCCAGTCCCTCCACCCTGGAGAGTGTTCCCACAGCTACTCCTCCATTTGGCAGAGTTCTTGTGTTGTCTTTTTTACATGATAGTTACTATTAAACTATGGCTTTTTTTTCTGTGCCCAAGGACAAAGGGCTCTGTTCCTAGTCCCTCAGTCCTATCCCTCCCCACTACCATTCTCAGCATCTGGAATGGGGATTGCCCTTGTTACGGTGTCTCTGTCTCTCTTGCTATTCTCTTGCCACTTTCTCTACCTTTGTTGTTCAGTAGCTGTTCAGTTTGCAGTTCAGTTGGTTCTTCAGAAGAGTTATTCTATAAATAGCTATAATTTGGTGTGTTCCATGGAGGAGGTGAGTTCAGGGTCTTCCTGTGTTGCCTTGTTGGACTGGAACTCAACAGATAGATATTTAAATAGAAGTCACAGGACTGGATGAGATCTTTAAAGGGCAAGTATAGATGAAGAAGGGAGAAGAGACCCAGATGTGAGGACAGAATTCTGGGACCCTCTGATGTGTAAAGTTCATGAAGATGAGGGGCAATTAGAAAGGGAGACAAACAACAGTGAGTGTTTTAGGAATGAATGACAAGTCCTGCTAGCTGGCTGAGGAAGAGGAAGTCACTAGATTTATCATCAAGGAAGTCACTGTTGATCTTGATGGAAAAATAAAATGGTTGGTGTGGTGGCAAACAGTGAACACAGACTTACTTTCAGGGAACCAAGAGAAAACAGAATAATTAGGGACAGGAAGCAGAAATAACTTTTTCAAGAAGTTTTGTTGTAAAAGAGAGCTAAGTAGGGGGTGGTAGCTTTTGCTGGAGGGAATGTTAGTCCAAAGGTGGCTTTTAAAAAAAAGATAAAGGAGAAATAACATCATCTTTGCTTCTCATGGAAACCAATCATTAGAAAGGGCAAAATTGATGATACCAGTGAAAGCATAATTATAGGTGTGATGTCCTCATGTCCTTCGGTCAGTGTGAGGGTTGGGACTGGTGGGTTTTAGGAAGTAGCATAAATGCTTCAACCACTGTAGCAGAACAGAATGCTTTGCCCATGAATACAAAGGCAAGCATGTGATCAACTCGATGATAAGAAAGTGTGAGGTTCTCCTGGGATTCCTTTTAAATTCTCAGTAAAATTAGAGGATTATCAACAGACAGTGGGAGCTGGAAGAGACAGATCTGAGATGAGAATGTGTAAAAGAATTGTCTGGGACAATGGCTATTGCATGTTTTTGACAGCAACATAGAATAAGAAGTACCGCTATTGAGGAGGTAAATCCATGAACACACACACACACACACACACACACACACACAAGAATTTCAGGAGACAGTACCCTTGCTTCCCTTACTTTCACTTCTGTTCAAATCTATTTTATTAATAAAAGGCAGATAGTGACTCACTAAATAATTTCATGACACTCTAATGGGTTGTAGTCTGCATTTGGAAAACACTCATCCAGAAGAACTGAAGAGGAAATTTTCTGAAGAGATGTAATAGGATTATGCGCAGCACAATAAACCAACTTAAGGATAGAAGGCAAAGTGAGGCCAATGCGCTTAATCAAAAGCTCATCATTATGCCTTCCCCACACCCAATTGTTGCTCCTGTCCGAGATCCCTTTTTATTCTCAGATCCTCTTCTCCAGTAACACAGGTCGAGATCTATCAATTTTCTTCCTGTACCCCATTTCTATAACTCTCTCCATTCAATCATTTGCAAAATTTAAAAGGTTCTGCCTATAAACTCTCATCAGCATCTCTTTGTTTCTATTTCCATTGATTTTGCCATGGTTCAGGCCCTTCCTGCTTTCTCTCCACCTTTTTACTTTTCTTATTATGATAATACTGTAATGGGTGTCCATGATAAGAAATTTATTTTAAAAAGACAAGTAACTAAAGAAAATAAATATCCAACACAATCTCACTAAGAGGTTATCTAGCTTCATTTGTTGGTATATATATATATATATCCTTCCATTTTATGTGCATATATATTATTTTCCCTGTACTTGTCTATATACAATTATATAATGTAACCCTGTATTATGCTTGTTTTTACGAAAACACATTGTGAATTTCTGCTCACATTATTATGTGTTTGGCAAAATCATATTTAATAGCTGTAGGGCATTCCATGTATGGTATTTTAATCTAAACCATTTTGTTGAGTTTGTGCAGTCATGTGCATGAGCCTCTCAGATATGGGACTGCAGGGAGCACAGTTTGCCAGAGACCCCTGCTGCTGTGCTTGAAAATCAATTCATCTCTTAGCTTGTTGCACGCCTACACTTCCCAGTCAATAACTGAGCTCTGGAAATGAACTTAGGCAGGCCCATTTCTGGGAGACCTGGGATTCCTCTGATGAGTGACTCTGGCTTTTGGGTCTCCCAGACAGCCTTGTAGAAGGTTGCTCAGAGCCAGGCACCACTTTCCTCTCTTCCTTCCCTCAGGATCAAACTTACATGGAGTCTGGAGGCTCTCCCTGCTTCTCCTAGCTCCTTGCCCATTTTCTCTCAAGAGTGTTTCTGTTTCTCCTAAGACATTTCTTATACATTTAATCCCATCTTGGCATGTTTCTCAGAGGACCCAAACCAACACAGACATTTCAGTTGTTCTCTGGTTTGTATTCTGTACAACTAAACTTCTGATGGCTCAGGTCTCAGCATAGCATTCTTCTGCTGAGAGCCCTTCAAAGCACTGCCATTACTCAATAAATTAAGCCTAAGCCCCTCCTTCTCCCCTCCACACTTAGCTTCAGCCCATTTCCCCAAACACCACCCAGTATTCTTAGTCCAGCCCAAGGCCTGCTGACCAAATATTCTCCCATTCATCTTCTCATGCCTCTTCCCCCATCCCCCAAGAAAACATCTGCCCCGCTGATGCCTCCTTCATTCTGGATTTCTTCTTGATTTTTCCAACTTAATGTTTTTTCCCCTCCATTTTATAGGCCACAGAAGAGTGTTTTCTGCAGTGTATTCACTCTTTTTGGAATGTCAAAAGGGAGGCTGTAGAGCCCAGTGGTGAGGTGTATAGTTTGTAATCAGACTATATTATCATTTTAAACACACACACACACACACACATACTAGCTGAGATTGGATATATTTGGGAAGCACTGAGCTAAACAAAAATAATCCAAGATTTTTTGTTTGTTTTTTGTTTTTAATTACAAGACTTCCCAGAGCCCTTAAATGCTCATAGACATTGTGACTTTCCAGGGCCAGCATTGATACTTTGTGAGCTTTTCTTGAATTTATTTGCTCACAAAATCCTTTAAAAACAATCATCGCCAGACATTACTTTTTCTTGGAACATACTGGGAAAGGGTAAAAGTTGTCACAGAATTTTGCATGTATGGTTTTTACAGTACTGTATATATTTTTCAACTTGTTAGAGTTATTTGCATATTTATCTTACACATCTTCCCACTTCAGCCTTTAGCATAGGGTCTTGAAAATAATGGGCACTTGTTCAGTTGAAAATCACAGAATTTTAATGAAGGTTCGTGGTCTGGAATATTTGGTAACTGGAGACAATTTGCATCTAATCTCAGTAGCTTTTTCGCAGTCTTTTTTATACCGTAGTATCCTTGGCTACCTTTCAGGCTGGAAAGATTATCTTGATGTTGGACAAAAAGCCCTTGTTAATATGGGGCTAAGTACATTTTCTCTACAAGTCACTTTATTGGGACAGCATAACAGGGTATAAAGATAGAGGTTCATTTTAAGGGATAGAAAGCAGGAGTGTGTGGACTCTGGGTCTTGGCTCAGCTTGGGTAGTGAGGAAGGCAGCCTGTGGCTTACTTAGTTCTGATTGTTTTCATCTCCAAGGGTGTGCTTGTCAAAGAGGTACTCTGCCAGGCCAGAATCCGGGGCCCCCATCTTAACCAAATTTTGCACGTGGTCACTTAGTTCTTTGATAGACTTCACCTGCTCATTCAGATAGTGAGTTTCCAGGAAGTCGCACAAATGGGGGTCACCTTTGTCTGAGGCCAAAGTGTGCAATTCGAGCAACGACTGGTTCACGTTCTTTTCCAAGAGCAGCGCACACTCCATGGCATTCAGCCCGCTTTCCCAGTCGTCCTGGTCAGGTTTCTTGATGTCCTGCAGGCAGATCCGGCCTCCCCGCTGGTTCTGCAGCCTCATCAGCTTTTCCGCGTGCTGGGTCTCCTCCCGGGACTGGCGAAGGAAATACCTGGCGAAGTTGTTCAGGGCCACGTCATCTCGGGAGAAGTAATAGGCCATGGACAAGTACACGTAGGACGCATAGAGCTCCAGGTTGATCTGGCGGTTGATGGCAGCCTCGGAGTCGGGGTGGAAGTTCTGGCGCACCCGGGAGTGGGCAGAGGCGGGCCCAGCTGGGTCCCAGGAGGAGGCGGCTGCGGCCAGCAGGCGCAGGGGGGCAGTGGGCCCGGGGCGCGAGGGGCGCCTGGAGACCCAGAGCGGCAGGAGCGCGAAGCCCCGGCGCGCGCTGCGCAGGGACACCAGCGGAAGGCTGATATTCTTGGAGAGGAACAAGAAACGGGGCAGCATGGCTCCCCTTCTTTAGAAGTGGGGAAACTGAGGCCAGGGCGGCACTGCGTGCGGCCGGACGCCAGGGGCTTCAGGTCTCAATCGGAATGCGGCCTTAGGCGACGGCGGCGACTGCGTCACACACACCCCTTCCCTTCCAGAATCGCCAGAGTTCCACGCGGAGGGCGGCCAGGCGCGCGCCCTGTCTCGGCTGGGCACAGACAGATGAGAGTGACAGCTTCATTTAGCTAAACATTGCCCCCTTTCTGCCCTTGGGCCTGTGTAACTTACTATTTCATCTAAGTTCAAAATGCTGTCAAAAAAGGCGCTGCGACTACCAAAAGAAAGGATGAACGGAGCGGTACTCCCCCCTCCCTCTTTGACCTCTTTCCATCCAAAGCCCAAGGTCTTGGGGAGGCAGGGCAGTGAAATAGGGTAAAGCAAAAGTCACAACAATTTATCTGAGAGTGAAGGTCCGCAGCCAAAGCCGGTGCTTATAAATTGATTTTCTGATTATTTTAACAAACGTAGGTATGGAAAGAATTGCCAGTATAGTAGGCAAATTTTCAAGGGTCTGTAATAAGACAGTGCTTTCTTTTAAAAAGATGTTTTATTTTTAAATATAAAATTCATCTTTCTTGCAAAAAAAAGATACTGTAGAAAAGTAGGGAGAATATAGCTTTCTTAAGCTATAATAAAGAAACTAGCTTTATTTTCCTGTCTTTTGTTCATGCAGATACATACACTTGTGGTGAGCAAAGCATAATTGTGGAGAAGTTGAATCACTATGTTGTAGTGTGAAACTAATGTAACATTGTGTGTCAACTAAAATAAAAATTTTTTTTAAGGGCGGATGCCCAGATTTTACTAACAGAAACTTATAACATTAAAGTTCCAATGCTTTTTCTTAGCCTTAAGAAGACAATATTCTTAGGAGGCGTCAACAATATCCCATTGCATTCTAGGACAGCAAACTGGTTCTGCTTTCTCATTGATCTTTTTGATAACGGGATTATAAGTTTGGGGTGTGATTATCTTTGGTGAGAAAGTGTTGAGATTCTAGTTTTTCTGGTACGTCTTCCAGGTGCCTTATTAAGTCTTGTCTTTTAAGTGTCGCTGTTTCCTTCATGGCACACACAAAAAATTTTTCCCGCAGTTCTGGAGATCCTCACGCAATTTGAGGATTCTCTAATACTTTCATCCAAACTGCCAAATTTCCCTCTTTAATTGATGTTTTATTTCAGCATTGATTTCCAGTGGTATTGGCAGTTTTTCCGGCACTTCTCCCAACACAGACATTGCTGTGACTTTGGAGTCATCATCTTTCAAACACAAGGCTGAGCCCCCAGGGTGGGATGCTCCCTGTCCCTGTTGCACTAACAGCAGCGCCAGGCTTGGCCTTCTCTTAGGTGGAGGAAGAATCCTGGGTTCTCCACGGCATGTCATTTGGCTTTCTCCTGAGAGCCGACTCCTCTCCTTTATCAGTCATCATTTCAGGGCTGGTCTTGGGCAGCACCAAGAGTAGATGTGCCAAGAAATTTTTCTTAAATAAAAAAAATAAATAAAAAGGACAGTCTAAAAAAATAAATTTAAAATGGTATTTAGTTTTAAAAGAATATTGTAATTGTTGTAGTGTATTGGAAAAATGAGGATTAACTCACAGAAGAAAATTCAGAAAATTTCTAATCTTTCTCTATCTGGAGAAAACCATTGTTAAAATGTTGATAGTAATTCTCACAGATAAAAAAAAAAAGACATTAAAAAAATAACAGAAACACAAAAGTAAATTTATACCTTTGTAACAGCTTTAGAGAGCTATACTTGACATAAAATAAACTGCAGATACTTAAAGTGTACAACCAGATAGGGTTTGACATAGGTATGCATCTGTGACACCATCACCCAAATCAAGAAAATGAGTGTAGTCATCACCTCAGAAAGTTCCCTCCTGTTCCTTTATATTTTATAATCACTCCCTTCTACTTCTCTCTGCCCCACCTCATCCTAGGCATCCATTGATCTGCTTTTTCTCACAGAGATTAGTTTGCATTTTCTAGAATTTCATATAAATGGAATTGGTTTGTATTCCTTTTTGCCTGCTTTTTTTTTTTCTTTGCTCAGTACAATGGTTCTGTGATCCATGCAATAATGTGTATTAATAGTTTTTATTGTCAAATAGTTATTCCACTGTGTAGGTATACCACAATCCTTTTATCCTTTCACCATCTCATGAACATTTTACTTGTTTACAGTTTTTGGCTATTGAAATAAAACTGGTAGGAACATTCCTGTACAAGTCTTTGTGTGGCTGTATGTGCTCATTTCTCTTGGGTGGATACTTTGTATGGAATGGCTGGATCATATGGTTAAGTGTATGTTTAGCTTTTTAAGAAATTTCAAATTGTTTTTCCAAGTGGCTGTACCATTTTGCATTTTCATCAGCACTCTGTGAGAGTTCAAGTTCCTTCACATCCTCGCAACCCTTGGTATTGTCATTTATTTAATTTTAATTTAAAACTTAAAATTTAGACATTCTAGTAGATGTATACTAGTATTTCATTGTATTTTTCATTTGTATTCTCATTATAATTAATGATGCTGAGTACACTTTCTCAGACTTCTTTGCCAGCTGTTTATCTTTGGAAAGTGTATATTCAAATCTTTTGTCCATTTTACATATTGGGCCATTTCTTTTCTTAGAGTTGTTTGATTTCTTATGGTTAATAGCTGGGCCTTTGATATTAATGCTGCTTATATTCAGGTCTTCTTTCTTATTACCTTCTCTGTATTACTTTCCTAGATTTCCTTGGACAAGTCAGATTACCCTTCTAGGTCAGTTTTCTCAGGTGTAAATTCAAGATCCTACTTACTTCCATTGGGTCATTGAAAGGATTCAATAAAATAATTATGCAGCGGACTTATCACAGAACTTGGCACAGAATAAGCACTGAAAATATTCTTTAATAGTTCTTATTGGATAGTTTCTATTTAGTTATTCAAAATCATTCATTTTATATTATTCAGTAGGCAATAATTATTATTATTGCATATGGAAAATCCTATATAGCTTGTAAAGTATGCTAACATTCATTATATTATTGTTATCATATAGAGATAGTGAGGTAGAAATTATTTTATGATATGGGCATATTGAGACTTGTGGTTTGGTAGTAAGCTCCCTTGTCTCAAATGAGCTTCTTAAAGTGTACCATAAATTGAGGTGGATGCCTAAGATCTAGTTGCACTTAGACTCTGGTAGCAGAATGTGATCGATATTTGCCAAGAAATTTCTCACTAATTTTTGCTTTTCTTTATCCATCTTTGCTTTTATTTTCTCCAAACTCTTGCGACTCCTTAAAATATAGTTCCCCAAAGAGAGGATCTGAAAATGATTCTTTAGAGTGGTATTAAATGCCAACTGCTGCGACTAGTGTTTTAGTAGAAAGGATACTTTTCATATAAATGCTTTACACCCAAGGTAATAAAAAGCATAGATATAAAACAAATGCAAGACATGAAATATAATGCAAAACAACGTCATAAAACACAATGCACACTTAAATACCCCACGTTTATTTGTCAGAAATATTTCTTATTCCCTTACAAAGTTTGTCATGTATTTTGCTAGACTTTAAAAATGCAAGCTTTTTATTTTAGGGACATTTTGATTTCTAGTATTTGTAGTAAATTTAATGTTCTTCTACCAAAAGTACAAACATAGACCATGGCCCACCATTCTTCACAAGCCATTTCTTCCTCAGTTTTAATGGCTTCTTCTCTTCTTTGGACACCCCTCTCAGCCTTCGAGATTCTCTGGTGTTCCCTCTACTTCCTCCTCCTCCTGTCCTCCCTTCTTTTACTTCCTCACAAAATCCATCTCATCTTTTTAGGTCCCATCAGATATGTTACTTTCTCTGTAAGGTCCTCGATAACTTCATTTGGAATCAATCACTACTTTGCTGTTGTTGTTGTTGAAGGCTTTGTTTATACTGAGAGTATATCAGTCTATCCATTTAAATTTCTTGTATTTCTTGTATATGGGCATGCACATGTGCATGCTTGTATGTGTGCTGGTGTGCGTGTGTCCTTCAGGGCACAGTTTATCATCCTACTCATTATTTTTATTGAAGTATAGGTGACACACAATGTTACATTAGTTTCAGTTGTACAACATGGTGATTCCACATGCCTATGTGTTATGCTCTGCTCGCTGTAAGGGTAGCGGCTGTCTGCCACCATGCAATGCTATGACGATACCATTGACTATACTCCCTGTGATGGACCTTTCATCCCCGTGACTTATTCATTCCATAATTGGGAGCCTGTACCTCCCACTCCCCTGCACCCATTTTGTCCCTCCTCCCACCCCCCTCTCCTCTGTCAACCCATCCTACTTATTTTTAAATCCTTAGTCCTGGTGCAATGCTTCCATCCCCCAAATGCATGGGGATAGGAATTTTTATTTCACATAGCGTATCAGCTTAGCCTAGTGCACATTTGTAAAGTGTATTAGGAGATGACTTCACTTTAAGTTATTTGAAAAGCTCTGTACTTTGCTGATTTCAGTCTCTAAAGGAATAACGTTATCCCCTATTTTCTTCTTTATAGATGTATTGAGGGAAATATTTGTTTTCTATGTGAAAATGCTTTGCCAATTGGAAATTTAAGAACTAAATGAAAATGGATTGTAATTCACTGAATCATGTTTTGATATATGTAATATATAGATCATGTTTTTATATTATTTTCTTTAAAGCATTTGATTTTAAATACTAGAAATTTTTTAGACTTTACCTACCTTGGAAAATATGTAAACAACACTCTCCACTTTTACAGTAATAGAAGGGAGGAATCATAAATACTGGGGAAAAGGAAAGCTGACAAGTAACTCTACCCCTTTATACTTGTATTTGTAATGAAGACATTTTTTTCTCCTTTTCATCTCTTTCTATTCTCTCTTTTACATTCAAACATGGTTAGTCATGGTTACATTCAAACACGGTTAAGCAATTCTTCATCTT